TACTCCTTGGTAGTCAAATGTGACCAAACACCTTAAGCGTAACTTTTAATCAATTAAATAACTGTACTATATTTTAGTTCAGTTCAGTTTAGCTTTTGGTAATTTTTTAGATTTTGGTAAATAATATGTGCAATAATTATAATCCATGATTAACCATTTAAAATATAACATTTTCTAATTATTTGTATTACAATTAGTGTGATATTTAGGGTTAAAATAGAGAAAATGTTGTTAAATTCCAGTGCAAAGAGGCAAATTAGAGGCATTTTGTGGCCGGAAAAATTATATTCATATGTGATGCCATGGTTTAAACACTAGATGCCCGTATGGGCTGTTACATGTATATAGCTCAAGTCTAGTTGCTCAAAATAGTATTGGCGGTCATATTTGCTTACTTTTGTTTTTTTGTAGGTTTTGCAGTTGAATGCATATTTAGACATTATCAAACACTCGATTTTTATTAGTGTTTTTTTAATGTTAAATTCATAAAGGTTAATTTCACACATCCCAGTGTTATTTTATGAGATTCACATAAGCATACAACACAAGTAAATATTAATAAAGGCAAGCAAATAAGGAATTTAACCGAAGTTTAAAATAATGTTTAAAAACACAAGGCAACCAAATGCATTCAGCAAAACTCTTTATTATATTCCTCGAATGGGCAGTCTTCACTGAAACTCATTCAACCTCCTACAGGGAGAGAAAGATTGCAGAAAGACTAAAAACGTAAAAATATGACAACTCTGGTTATGGTCGCTATTAAAGTGTTTCTCACGTTATCTAACTGGTATAACTGTCTACTATTTAATGATAAACATTAACTATAATAACATGCTCCATAAAATACCACCAGGCCTACTGGCCAGATTTCCAAGAGGTCAACTAATGCATAAAAATTGAATAATTTAGCATTAAAGAGCTTCAATTTTAATCAGTCTTTTATATACACCACTATCTAGACAAACCTCATTCTTCACATGGCTGGGAGGGCAAAAAATAGCATTAGTCCTATTTAGTATCAGTACTCTTTTCCTGGTCTGAATCATCTCAATCAAAATTCTGTTTAATCTGATTTTGAAATACCAGTTTGTAAGGTGATTTTTTCATCCTTTTCACCTCTCCTTCATCACTACTTTTTAAAGGGGTCCTATTATGCTTTTTCACTTTTTTAATTTTAGTCAGTGTGTAGTGTGTATGTTTGGGCATTAAAAAGATCTAGAAAGTTACAAATCTCAAAGTCCACTCCAAAGGGAGATATTTCGTCTTTTAAAAATCCCTTTTCAAGAACTACAACGAACGGCTCGTTTGGACTACAGCATTTGGTTTCCGGGCTTCGTGATATCACAAAGCGGCTCGTTAGAAAATCATTACAAATAATTCCCGCCTAAGGGAGATATTTAGTTTTTTAAAAATCCCTTTTCAAGAACTACAACGAACGGCTCGTTTGGACTACAGCATTTGGTTTCCGGGCTTCGTGATATCACAAAGCGGCTCGTTAGAAAATCATTACAAATAATTCCCGCCTACAGAAATTGGAATGGTTAATGTGTTTTTCGAAACACCAAGCATGAGAACATGTTCTAGTACACCCCCAAAACATAATCAAGACTTTGTAAAAGAGCATAATAGGACCCCTTTAACATTTTTGCTTTGGGCCACTCGGCAGGTCCCTCGAACATCCATCAAGTTCTTTGCTTTGTTAACGTCATGTGCTCTGTATTTTGAAGTGACAGGAGACCAAGGTTAATAATTTTCTATAAAGATTTAAATTTTATTTCACTACATTATTATTGGGGAAAACATGTTTGTGTATATAAGCTAAAAAAAAATATTAAAAATAATTCCACAGTGAAGGTTTTTTTTTAATGGAGATTGAAAATAAAAAGAACAATTTTTTTTGAAAATTTGCGACTCATATACACACACTGTCTTTCAAAACACACACACACACACACACCACACACACACACACACT